CCCGCTGCTCTAACATTCGTCGTTTGCATCACAGTGACATAACAACAAAACTGTCAAATGCATACACATACATGTATATGCACCAAAAGTACAAAAAACTTTACCAACCAACCAAAAAACGACTAAAACTCTAAAATTGGAAACGAAATTTAAGCTTTTACAAGAATCATTGGTTGACCACTGCTCTAGCATTGGTCAATTTCAAGAATTGTTGTAGTCTTATTAGTAAATACCATGCGTACATACATACATACACACAAGCACATATATCTACACATATGGTTTGACTGTTTGGGAAAAAGAATCAAGTGAATATGTGCTGCCAATAAAAAGGAGAGAAATCAAGAGAGAGTATTGAAAGGCAAGAACATTGCTAATGAATGACACTCGTTGAGCAGTATTTGGTCTCCTTGGGGATGCCTGTTCTGTTAGTGGAAGCCAATGTTGGTCGTAGTGGCTATACAGAGACATGCACACAAGGCTGGGTATGACCAGCAAACCATATTGTCAGAACTTGATCTGAAAATCTATATACATGAAGGAAAGTCGTGTTAATTACACTATTTATAACTCAAAAATGGCTTATATATCTGAAAATTGGTGAGGAGGAAACTTAGAGGTAGGAGATATGCAGAGGTTAATATTTATTCCATAAGGGTACTTAGAGTACTAAAAGGAACTCAAATTTGGATTAGAGGTAGAATTCTGATATGTGGAATGACGGTCACTTATGGATTGTTGGAGACATGCACTAAAGGATTCTTTGAAATTCGCACTAAAAGTACTAAAAAGCCGACGGTCAATGTTCGATTATTTAAATATATTTTGAATTTCTGGTTCAGAGAAATATAAATATGTAGATATGGCAAGTTGTATAGAATCGTCGACTTGTTTGGCAAGTTTATTGGAATTTGAGATCTTTGTGGGTGAGGTACCAGAAAAATGGTCCGATCTCTACAATCTATATAACATATAGAGGGTTGCCCATATTCGACGGACCTTTGGGCCCATTCCAATCAACGAGGCTTGTCCGCAGGCAACATTCTTTGCGTCAATTGAATTTTGTACGGGAACAAATGCAAATCAATGCGAATAATCTGTTGTAAAGTGGACCGAGCCATGCCCAACTGCTGAGAACGGCGTTTTTGGGATGTTCTTGGGGACCTCTCAACACTGGCTCGTACGGCAGCGATGTTCTTGGCCGATCGCCTTGGTCGACTTTTATATGGCCTCTTCGGATTAGAAAGAGCTTTACCAGTCGAAAATTTTTCGTATAAACGCTTAATGGTGTTCTTAGAAGGCGCACTTCTCACATTTTTTAATGTTTTAAAAGCACGTTGAGTTTTCACAATTGACATCTTCTGTTGAATATAAATTTCAGAGCGCTCGCGTGGCGTGTATTGGTTCATGGTAAAAATCTGCTTGGACTGACGCTTCAAACGCGGTATGTCATTAAGCGATGTGACATCTCTGTCAAAAGTTATGGCGTTGCCAGATGGGTCCGTCGAATATTGGCAACCCTGTATTGTATTGATGGAAATATTGAGATGAACCAAGTCTGAATGGAATCTGATAGTAATGTCGCGTTTTATGAGCTACATTGATATTCAAAATTTTGTCCCCTTGTGAGGTAGGTACCAGAAGGAGTGAACCGATACTTCACATTTTCCGATGTACCAAGTTTGGACAAAATCAGATACATTCTTCGAAAGTTATCGTAAGCAACAGCCAGACAGACAGGCAGACGGACGGCCGGACATTGCTAGATCAGCTTTAAATGTCCTGATTTGGATTTGGTCCAGTGAGACTTAGGGTCTAAAACCGTTATTTCGATGAGGCACGTTTTGGCCGTATCAAATTATATATACCCTCTCTAGTCATATGGCTGAGGATATAACTAGGGTTGATATAAACGTATGAAAATTAAAATGTGAATATCGGGCTCTACTGCTATTGTGTAGGGATGAGATTTGAAAGTGATTTAGAAATATGTCCCGAAAAATTCGAAAAGTACTAAATGGTATTGAATGTGATATATGAGGAACTGATAGAGGTAGAAATCTGAAATTATGTGATGAGGTATGGCTATAGGTGCACTTTTTTATTTTATTTTATTTTTCTTAAATTCGAGCTAAATATGTACTAAAAGTATTAAAATTGTACACTACATATATTTGGTACCATTTTGTATTATGTGAACGGTTGGAGGTGAAATGTAGACATTTGGTAGAAAAATTATGTTGGGGAACTAGGGTTGATATGAGAAGGTGATTTTTGTGTACTAAGTGTAAGAACTTTACTAAATGGTACTAAATTTGGTACAGTCTAGATTTTGGTACTATTTGGTATTATGTGAATGGTTGGAGCTAAAATGTAGACATTTGGTAGAAGAATTATTTTGGGAAACTAGGGTTGATATAAGGAGGTTGTTTTTGTGTACTTAGTGTAAGAACTTGACTAGTTGATACTAAATTTGGTACAATTTGGATTTTGGCGAACGGATGGAAAATTTAAATTCTGATATTGAGCTTGGGTGAGATTGAGATTTCCAGGTGGTCTTGCAAATATGTACTACAAGGTTCGAAAAGTACCAAATGGTACTAAATTGGGTATATCAGGACGGGAGAGACATGGAAATCTGAAATTTGGTATTATACTCATTTTTATTTTTTTGTGAAAAATAATCCCTGCAATTATAAAGACCAAACTTCAACGAAAATATTTTCAAAGAGAGAAAAATGTTTTCAAGAGATTTGTGAAAATTTAAAATTTTTTTTGGACATTTTAGGCATTTGCCATTTAGTTTGCTGGGTGGCCAAGTTATCCACATGACTGCGAGAACATGTACGAAAAAGAGCATTAACTGAGAGCATTTTTACACTAAAACTTTGGGGAATTCCAAAAAAAAAAATCAAAGACATGATGTTGACAAAAACTCAAGGCTGGGGAAAAATCTCAATAGAAATTCAATTTAAACGTCATTCATACGATAAATGATATTAAATGATTGTTTTTCAAACATTTGCGTTAGTCGAAGATATTGCACTTGCAATGTGAATGTTATTTGACCTTATGTCGTTCAATACTCAAATGACAATTTTTTTTTAAAGGGCATAAACTTAAATAACATCAAGAAAGGTCACATTAATAAAAATATAGACAAATGAGAATGTTTTCATGTGTTGAAAAGAGAACAAATTTTCCTCACGATTATTCTTAGAGCTTAAAGTTTGAAAAAATTTTAAAATAAAAACAAGTAAGCAAAGGCTACAGTCGAGCGGGACCGACCGTTGAATACCCTACAACACTATAATAAACGATACAGATATTGTGACAAATAATAAAAGAAAATCATCAGGTTTCGTTCTCTAATTTTCGGATAGTAGCAACTTAAACTAATTTGCTCATTTCCAATTTATTGGTAGATGTTGCACGTAAATGGTCTTCCTAGATCTGGAACCAATATTTCCCAAAGACCTATAATCTCTAAGAAGTGGCAAAAGATTAACATTTATTATTGCTTTTTGACTGAAACGCATCTATATGAGATACACCCATTTGACTATATTCTTCAACGAAATCAGCGTTAACGAAATAGTCAGAAGTGTGTCTTTCCTGTATTTGTGAATTCTCCAAAAAGTCACTGGAATGTACATTTTCGTATTTTGTCTATAAAAGTTGGCAAACTCCTTCACACATTGAATATTTTTGGATGGCCATCCAAAACTGCTTGGCTTTTGCAATGTCCGGTAACCCCCATAATTACGACCTGCTGACAATTTTGCAGTTTTTTGGTCCATTTCAACCCCTAAATATATGGCGATAATCTCCAAAAAGAATAGGCTTTTATTCTGACCCTTATCTGACCCTCATTCAAAATTTCATTAGGATCGGGCCATAAATGCGATCTGTATATGATATCCTGATATCTTAACTACTTAGTTTTGTAAGCTGTAGAAATATTACCAAATGTTTAATTCAAAATGAAAATATGCCAAAAATATGACAAAATTGAAAAAATATGAGAAAATATTACAAAATCAATATTTTCATCTTTAGAGAGATATTTTTATGCAATTTTTTTAGACGTTTTTTCTTTCCTGTCAAGAGGCCATTTTGAATTAATGAGAACTGTCGAGATCAGTTCAGCCGTTCTCGACATATAAGAGATCTTTCAAGCATATCTTCTTTGATAGACATATATATCGCACATATTTTGCTATATATTCGATTTTTTGGATCTAAACATCAATGTAAAGATCGCCGGGATTTAAAATATTCGCGGTTTAATGAAAAATTTTGAATTTTTTCAACACAAAAGATATGGTCTATTTTACCCGCTAAATATTATCCGATGACCACCCAAATTTGTAGGCTTCTTCCCCGCCCTAAACTCTAGCTACATGCGAAATTCCGCGTCGATTGGTCTATAATGGCGACCTGTATAGCTACTGCAAAATCCGACATTTTTTCAGTATTTGGTCCATTTCAACACCTAAACATTTGGCGATCATCTCCAAAAGAAATAGGGTTCTATTCTGACCCTAGCCCCACCTCGATTCTAAATTTCGTGAAGATCGGGCCATAATTGCGACCTGTAGAGTGATTACAAATTAACATGGACAGACGGACAGACGGACAGACGGACGGACGGACATACATAGCTAGATCGGCTCAGCTCGGCGAGATAGGGAGATCCATATATACTTTCCTATGTGGGAAACCAATATTTCGTGGCGTTACATAATTTTTGGCCCAATCAAACTTATAATACCCCAACACATAGTGTTGTAGGGTATAATGAAAATTATTATTGGAATTGAAAATTATTAACAATAAAAATTATTTGAAAATGTGCCTTTTAGTTAAGGCGAAGGTAACTTTTTATAAGTATCTGAAAAATTTCGCTAGCGAGTTGAGCTTATAATAACTTTAGGGGATAGCAGTTTTGTCCACAAATTTTCCCACAACTTCAAGTAATAATTGCATGTCCAACTCACCTGTATGTCATTTATCCACCATGTTAAATTTGCTGCGGGCTTAGAGTAATCTGACGAACAATTTCCATTGATAACATCACCGAGACGATATCGTGAATGAATGCCGGTAATGATGGGCCTTTGAGTCGGCAATTCTGTGGAAATGAGTTCAGTAAGAAAATGATGTAATATTTAGTATGTAATTGCAAAATCATATTTATAAAATATATAAAACAATTGAATATTAATTATTGTTGATATATTTCACTTACCCACAACATCCATTACACCACCCATCATCGTTGTATGAAATGATGGCGCGTCTGCCGAAACTTCACAGGCATAGCGTCCTGATATGGCCAACGACACGTTGCGTATAAATACATGGCTGGCATTCGACTGGGTTGTCTGAAATGATAGTTTTTAAAATCCAGTAATTAGATATAATAATTGATCTAAAGTTTCGATACGAAACGATGAAAAATTTCAGTAAGTAAATAACTAATTGATTTAAATCTCAGGAGAAGATAGAATTGTAAAATGCTGTATGTCGGCCAACATTTTCGTGTATGGCTGGGTTTCCGGAAATTTGAACTATAAGTGTACTGAAAGAACTAAAACGTAGTAAAATAGTTAAACCATTTGGTGTTATGCGGAGATAACTTAGTATAAGGATTAATTTTTGGAAGTAGACTTAATATGAGGAGGTGGTCTTGAACCAAGTGTAAACATTTTAGGAAATGGTGCTAAAGTTGGAAATTTGAAATGTAGATAATGGTGTCAAGAGAGGGTTTTGGAAATGCGCACTTAGAGTATTAAAAGTACTAAATAGCACTAAATTTAGTATTAGGAGAATGGATAGTGTTGAAATCTAAAATTTATTATTAGGGTCTCTGTTAGTGTGTAGGGTTAGGATTTGGAAGTCGTTTTGGGAATACTTACAAAAAGATTACGAAAAGTACTAAATAGTACTAAATATTGTATTTGGAAAGTTATAAAGTTGGAAATCTTAAATTTAGTATTAAGATTAATTTTCTTACATCTAGTATTGGTCGATACCGCTATAATGAACTCATGCCAAAAATTTGATAACAAAATAGGTAAGCAAACCCCAGCTGATTTGACCATTGTCGCTTTCTGATTTAATTCCATTACTTGATATACAATAGGTATACACTTTTTATACCCTACAACACTATGTGTTGGGGTATTATAAGTTTGATTGGGCCAAAAATTATGTAACGCCACGAAATATTGGTTTCCCACATAGGAAAGTATATATGGATCTCCCTATCTCGCCGAGCTGAGCCGATCTAGCTATGTATGTCCGTCCGTCCGTCTGTCCGTCTGTCCGTCTGTCCATGTTAATTTGTAATCACTCTACAGGTCGCAATTATGGCCCGATCTTCACGAAATTTAGAATCGAGGTGGGGCTAGGGTCAGAATAGAACCCTATTTCTTTTGGAGATGATCGCCAAATGTTTAGGTGTTGAAATGGACCAAATACTGAAAAAATGTCGGATTTTGCAGTAGCTATACAGGTCGCCATTATAGACCAATCGACGCGGAATTTCGCATGTAGCTAGAGTTTAGGGCGGGGAAGAAGCCTACCAATTTGGGTGGTCATCGGATAATATTTAGCGGGTAAAATAGACCATATCTTTTGTGTTGAAAAAATTCAAAATTTTTCATTAAACCGCGAATATTTTAAATCCCGGCGATCTTTACATTGATGTTTAGATCCAAAAAATCGAATATATAGCAAAATATGTGCGATATATATGTCTATCAAAGAAGATATGCTTGAAAGATCTCTTATATGTCGAGAACGGCTGAACTGATCTCGACAGTTCTCATTAATTCAAAATGGCCTCTTGACAGGAAAGAAAAAACGTCTAAAAAAATTGCATAAAAATATCTCTCTAAAGATGAAAATATTGATTTTGTAATATTTTCTCATATTTTTTCAATTTTGTCATATTTTTGGCATATTTTCATTTTGAATTAAACATTTGGTAATATTTCTACAGCTTACAAAACTAAGTAGTTAAGATATCAGGATATCATATACAGATCGCATTTATGGCCCGATCCTAATGAAATTTTGAATGAGGGTCAGATAAGGGTCAGAATAAAAGCCTATTCTTTTTGGAGATTATCGCCATATATTTAGGGGTTGAAATGGACCAAAAAACTGCAAAATTGTCAGCAGGTCGTAATTATGGGGGTTACCGGACATTGCAAAAGCCAAGCAGTTTTGGATGGCCATCCAAAAATATTCAATGTGTGAAGGAGTTTGCCAACTTTTATAGACAAAATACGAAAATGTACATTCCAGTGACTTTTTGGAGAATTCACAAATACAGGAAAGACACACTTCTGACTATTTCGTTAACGCTGATTTCGTTGAAGAATATAGTCAAATGGGTGTATCTCATATAGATGCGTTTCAGTCAAAAAGCAATAATAAATGTTAATCTTTTGCCACTTCTTAGAGATTATAGGTCTTTGGGAAATATTGGTTCCAGATCTAGGAAGACCATTTACGTGCAACATCTACCAATAAATTGGAAATGAGCAAATTAGTTTAAGTTGCTACTATCCGAAAATTAGAGAACGAAACCTGATGATTTTCTTTTATTATTTGTCACAATATCTGTATCGTTTATTATAGTGTTGTAGGGTATTCAACGGTCGGCCCCGCTCGACTGTAGCCTTTGCTTACTTGTTTGATATAAAACTTCAGTAAAATGTTCATTTTTTTGTCCATTTCAACCCTAACCTTTGTGATCCACAATTTGGCGATACCGAATCTAGTCTCTGCGAAACTTATTTTTTATGTTTTTAAAGTTAAGAATATAATTAGGATGTTTATAGTACTTCATTTTGGAGAAAAAAAGAGGAACAGATCGTCAAAACGCCTCTAACAATGTACTTGTGAAGAAGTCAACGTGATCATCGATGTCTGCAGGTATATCAAATTGTAAATTAGTATGCACTCCAATCGGCACCAGAAAAATTGAACTTGTAATTACATGACCGAGAAGGATTACCTGAAAGTTTAAATTGAACGGGAAGATGATCGGATGAAAGATCATTGATGAAGTTATGATTTGTTAAAAGAGGAATGTTATTTAGAATTAAATCAAGAGTTGATGGATTACACGTTGAGAGGGCATGGATATAGGTTGAACAATTCGGAAATGAAATGGTAAAAGGGTAAAGTGGATTTAAATCGTTAAGAATATTACCCCAGACATTCGAATGCAGGAAATTCCAATTACGGTGTTTAGAATTCAAATCGCCACAGAAAATATAATTACCATAGGTTTTTAAGATTTTACGTAAATCGGATTTAAATATGCTGCGGAATGTACTATCTCCAGGAAAGTATATGCTATACAACTTTAGCTTTAATTCCTCTCCTGTGTTTTCAATTGTTTGGGTTGGTATACTTTGGACAATTTTAAACTCAATATTAATTTTAATTATGGCAAAACCTCCGCCAATTTGCCCAGCTCTGTCTTTTCTAACACATTTGTAGTTGGGAATATTGAAACCGTCACTCTCATTCAACCAAGTCTCAGATAAACAACAAATACCAACATGGTTAGAAACTAAAAAATGTGTTAATTCAACAATATTGTTTTGGGTACTTCTAGAGTTCCAAAATATTATAGTTAAGTTGGAATAATTCATTTATAACTATTATTTATTACTATAAACAACTTTAAAGGCTAGTTCAGCTACTACATGAAATTGTTGCTCACTGGTAGTGCAGGAACCTAGTGGGGAGAAAATTTCACATGTCAATTGCAAAAATTCTTGCTCATTCCAAAATTGAAGGCTTTATATATTACCTATCAATAGATATTTACATACAAAATCAATATTTTTTTAATCTCCGATTGCCGATTTCGATGCTTTATCTCCAGTTCCAAGTAGAATTTCATAAATGTATATAGCCTATGTTACTTTCAGGCGATGGTGTAGTATAAATATTTATATATAAACAAACGATATATTAAGTTCGTCATTCCGTTTGTAACTCATTGAAATAATAATTTTAGACCCAACTAAGTATACAGAGTTGCCCATATTCGACGGACCCATCTGGCAACGCCATAACTTTTGACAAAGATGTCACATCGCTTAATGACATACCGCGTTTGAAGCGTCAGTCCAACCATGAACTCATACACGCCACGCGAACGCTCTGAAATTTACATTCAACAGAAGAAGTCAATTGTGAAAACTCAACGTGCTTTTAAAACATTAAAAAATGTGAGAAGTGCGCCTTTGAGAACACCATTAAGCGTTTATACGAAAAATTTTCGACTGGTAAGGCTCTTTCTAATCCGAAGAGGCCATATAAAAGTCGACCAAGGCGATCGGCCGAGAATATCGCTGCCGTACGAGCCAGTGTTGAGAGGTCCCCAAGAACATCGCCGCCGTACTCAGCAGTTGGGCATGGCTCGGTCCACTTTACAACGGATTATTCGCATTGATTTGCATTTGTTCCCGTACAAAATTCAATTGACGCAAAGAATTTTGCCTGCGGACAAGCCTCGGCGATTGGAATGGGCCCAAAGGTCCGTCGAATATGGTCGACCCTGTATATATTCTTGATCAGTTGTAATCCCACTACAGTCAAAACAAATTAAGATAGGAAGCTAAAATTTTGCACAGATCTGTCTTTTGTCTGCAGGTAGGTCAATTTCGAAGATGGGCTATATGGGTTCACGATATCGTATGTCCCCCATATAACGGCACCTCCCGATATTCGGTATGTTGATAATCATAGCTACATTTTTCAATGGAATTGTCTAAAAATGTACACAAGGTATTCCTTGTAAGTACTTTAGTCCCCTGAAAGAGAATTGTCTATATAGGTCCTCGATATCGTATAGCCCCCACATAAGGGTACCCCCGATATTCGGTATTTTGATGATTTCAGTATATAAAGTTTGGAACAGTTACTACAGCCTATGACGCAAATTACTTATGCAGGGCCTCATTTTCGTATAGGCCCCATATAGCGGTTTTCGTTTGAACAGTATTTTCCGACGGAAGTTTTTTTTAAATTAGCTGCTTTTTTACTTGTTATATACATAGGAGATAATAAATATACATTGATTAATATGATTTAACTATTAAAGATTTTTTAAATCCCCTTCATATGTCATCAAAAATTTCCATTTCCAATCTTGGGTAAGATATTTTATTTCCATGAAATAATTTATTGCAATCACTAAATGTTAATAACAACGCCAATATCAAACGATTACTCAGCGCTGGTTCAAATAATCTGCAAAAATTTACAAGTTATTACAAATTCAAAGAAGTAAGTAAAGCATGTAGTTATTCTCACATAGGAATATACAATATTTCTCATTAAAGTCCATTTA